TCATTGGAAAAAAAGAAAAAAAACATTGTTCATGCTCTCACATTTAGCCATGGGCTCACTATGCTACTTTTATTTTTATTTTGATGATTAAACTTTTATTTTAGATAATTTCATTATTTTTAGGAACAAAATAAAGTTTAATTCCTTTAAGTCTATTGAGGAGTGACATGATCGAAAAAAGGAGGGTTTTAGTGACAATGACAAAAAATACAGCCCATTTTGAAATTGGGTCAAAAAAATTAATTTGGTCCTAATTTTTCAAATGATAAACTTATGACATCTTAATATTTTGAAATTTTAATTTTGATCCAAAACTTTGTTTTATTTATTTTTTAGTCACTAATTTGAGGGAGGGAAGAGAAAGTAGTCGAATTCTAAGAGATAAAGTTTCAGCTAATGCTAATTCCAACCACAAAACAAACAATTTTGATGTTAATGGATTTTATTTAACAAAGAAAGTTCAGCCTAAACGTATGCAAGCTAATAGATTTAAGATTTGAAAGTCTTCTAGTACTAGGTTAATTATGGGTTTTTAGGCTGATGTTTTAGTTGTTTAAGGCCATTAATAGGTTTATCAAAGTTTATATAGTGTTTTTAGGTGTTTTAGATTAAAAACGGGTTAAGTATCAAGTATTTTTTATAAAAGAAACAAATAATAGGTCGTATGTCCCTTAAAAAAAAATCAACTCATTTGTGCGAGCTTAAGCTTTTTTTAAGCCTGAATGCAATAGACCACCCATGTGCCTAAGCTTTTTTTTGTCCATTTATTTGCTTTTAGTTTTATTTTTAATTATTAGGTTTTTGTTTAGATTTTTTTTTTTTGCAAATTTCTACTATGTATTTTAATAAATTATAATTTGTTTTTTACTAAGTTTATGAATACGTTTTCTTTCTTCTTATCTTACAAGGCATTCTTGTTGTGCAGCTCTACTTGATTTTTTTATTTTTAATTTTATTACATCACTTTTCTATATGTTTTATTAAAAAAAAATGGTTTCAATTAATAATTTTATTTTATTTTATTTCAAATTTTAATTATCAATAATAATTTATTTATTTAGTTATCAACATAGATGATTTTAAATTTATTTTATTAAATATATACATAAATTTTTTTATATAAAAAATACTTTAAAAAAATATATTCATTTTCTTCCTCTGAAAAATTTATCTGATTTTGTAGCACATCACAGTTCAAGTCATAACTTTATCGGGGAGGAGGGGAGTCGGTGCAGCAGAATCTGACCGTTAATTACAATTTCTTTTTTCATTTTTCTAACATTAATAATAATATCCCTCAAATAATTGACAAGGGCCGAGGACCCTTAACTAAATATGAACGGTGCTCGTTTGGGTAAATGTTGAAACTTGAAGGCTCTAAGCAATCAGAGCCACACTTGGAATCAATCTAATCAAATGAAGGGACAAGACCCAGCCCTCATTCATAAAACAATAAAACGCAAAAATCTTAATTTAGTCCTAAACTTATACCCCTTTTCAATTACATCCCAAATCTACAAAGTTTATCAATCAAGTCCCAAGAACTCTTATGTTTCTCAATTTCATTCTTTTATAATTTGTTTTTAATAATCAAAGTCTATTGTGTGTACTTTACGAGTTTAAGATTTTTAACCTAATTTGCATATTTATATACTAAAACATTAATTCGGAGAACATTTGATGAAAATATTGACAATTGATTGAGAAAGACTCCATTTAGAAATCTTTTATTTCATTTGATAAATTGTATATGTTTGACTAGTTTATTTCTTCGTGTTCCGCCGGAGGCTGAATTATATTTTTAAATATATATAAAAAAATTAGGGTAAAAAGATAAATATTTAATTTTTTTTATCTTGAATAAGTCATTATTTAACCATTTCAATTCACTAGGAATATTCTATCCAGTTTTTTCGATGACAAGATAAAATTGTTTGTTTACTGTTTTAATTCACAATAAACAAATGTATATTTACAGGGAAAATCCCATATCTTTTAGGGTTTTTTTTTTTTGGTTAATGGTAAATGAGTATATAGGTTTGCAACTAAATTATTAATATTTATTTAAAATAAAGAGGAAAATGAAACCTTTCTATCGACCAAGTCCATGCCCGTTTTAAAAAATATTTGAAAAGAAATTAATGGATACCGGCATGATCCATATTTAATTTTCTAAACTGCCCATTTCCTCGAATCAAAATCAAAACACAAATATCCAATTACGAAAAACAACAACAACAACATATGTCTGTTGACCTTTTCCAGTCTTTCCACATCCCAACCACTATATGCATAGACAAGACAGCAAATAAAAACTTAAGGTTCTTCTATTACATTAATATTGATTCAGGCACCAACCTAAGCATGCCAAGAAACAAAGAAAGAGACCATCTGATTCGGTTGACTTGTATCTAAGCAATCAAAACCATGACTTTGCCAAGATGTGTTTGGTGACATTATTTTTTTATTAATTACTGCATTAATTGATTTAATTAGGTTCTTCTGTTCTATTATATCCCTAGTTTCCAAATCGATGTGCTTTCAGTTATTTTCATCGTTTCCATCAAAAAGAGAGAAGAAAAAAGCTGACACTGCACAAGACAGCTGACATTGTATTGTTAGAAAATTGGATTAATGTGTTTGGTATGTGCATTGACTTGGCCATAACATTCTAGAACTAATTTAAATTAATTAAATACATGAAGGTTTATTTTCTGAATACCAATTTTAAACCAAGTCTGCTTTCTAAATTTAGTCTCATTACACAGTCGATATATCTTAAGATATATACTGCAAAAATATGTACAGTTGACAGGCCGTGCATACAGCTTATATATGCTCGTATAAACAGCTTAGATTTTTAATTTAAACCTCATTTGAAAAGGAAGAAAAAAACGTTGATTGTTTGAATGAATTGGTGAAAAAACTACGCACCCACACGCGAACGAGTAAGGCGGCTGTTAGGGTATTTTAAATTACATGAAGGCAAACAAAATGATTGGCTTCCTAGCTTGTCTCGCTTCCATTCCTGTTTTCTTGTGTTCTTCCTTATGGCCGCCTGTTTGAAGGATATGTTCATTTTCTAACGGGTTTCTTGCTTCACTGTTGTTGTTGTTTTTTTTTCGCTTTTGCCTCTCCTTATCCCAACTAATGGTATATACATGGCATGGACGTATCCTTTTTCGATCCTGTCTACGAGTACATTTTTGTACAAATTCATTTCTTGCGTGTAGTTTTTCTTGTTTTATATCTCTTTGAAGCGTGTTTCCTTTGCAACCTAACCTTGTTGTTGACTTTAGATCTCGCTCTCCAAATGGTTTCAACTTGCACAAGTGGAATTATATAAAACCAGATATTACAGTCACGAGGAAAAAGAATTCGAGGACAATCATTTCAGTTCAAACATCCTTAAATGTACTGTGGCAAGTTTCAATTTGACAGCTCTGAAATCCCACCTGCACTATAATTAAATGAATTTAATAAAACAGCCATCTATCTTTGGCTTGGCTAAGTTCCATGGTTAATACGAAAGCCTTCTTAATCTGTACAGTTAATAAAAGTCCAATTAAATTCAACAATTTATAACGAGAGGCGGTAGTTAATGAGGAACAACACGAGCACATAAATGCTTGAGAGCAGGAATTTGGTATACATGTCTGACACAGAGGTAGCCTAGCGGTGTTTTGTTCCTCGAAACATGCATCGAAACTAAAGGGAGTTAAGATTCAGACTCGATCCAGTCGGATCCTTAATTATTTCCTCACATAAGAAAGAGAAATAGCATTAAGCATTCATATAGTGAGCTAGCTACTGCAATTGCGAATAATCGTATCATCAGATGCCTTCTATACAAGCCAAGAGGTGAGCTTTGTCGTGACAGTGTTTTCCATTTACTATTATGCAACAATCGATCAGCTGGAAAAGTGGCTTCTTCAAATCTGTACAATTGATAGGCTTTAAAATTCACTCTTGATCGATCTTATCCTTGATCTTACACGCATACACAAGAAAAGCTTTCGTGGTCCCAAATGCAAGTCCTGCTTGTCACTGGTCAATCTTCCCCAGACATCCACTTCTGCATATATATATATATATGATTATAGTATTCTTTCTCACAATAATTTCACATGCATTGACTTCGTCGTCCACATATACAAAATGTTATGCCAATCAGAAATCTCCAACTTATGGTACTTCTTAATTGGTGTCTTATTTTCTTAGACGATTCTCTTTTCAAATTCCCAACCACCAATATAATTAGAAATATTGATTTTCATTTGTGTGTGTATATAATGGTAAGATTTTTGGATAACCAACAGTAAACCACATTAATATATATACCACATTAAACTTTGTGTACACATGCAGATCATAAATATTGCGAGCAAAAATTGATTTCTTCTTAGACAAAAATACGAAATTTCTAATACGTACATACCTGATGTATATCTTCATGTTTCACGTACACATTTATTTAATTAGCATCCACTGTGTTGATGTATTATTGATCATATTGTTTTTAGCCCACTTGCACTACCTACAGCCAGTCAATAGATTAAATTAAGATGGAAACTTCATACTATTGCAAGTTTTCTTGAGCGGTCTCTTTCCAAACTACCATATGTATATTACCTTATAATAATCCAAGATGGTAAACACCGTGTTTTTGGTGAGATCAGGGCACCGAATTCCTTCCAAACAAAAACCATAATTAAGAAACTGATCAATATTAACATCATATTACAATATTTACCAATAGCTATAATGCCTGCCAGTGCGCTAGAAAGAGTAACAAAAAATGTATACCTAGCTAGCTAATCACATATCAAGAAAATTCGTGTTACTTTCCGAAATCAATGATCAATGAAGTCAAATTAATCAAATAGTAAAGCGTTTTCGTATTCCTGATTATCATATATATGACCTCAACTAAAATGAGGCAGTCAGAAGTCTTAATTACTAATTCCCATATTTAATGCCAGTGCACGTTATTTTATGGTATACATCATTGATAAAGCCATCCTACCTTCTTCAACAAATCGTAATATATTAAACCTGCTCAACCTCTCTTTCCATAAACCTCGAGTACTTCATCACTCGCTGCCATTTCCTTCCCAAAAATGAAGAACCCGTTTCTCACTCTAACCTTCTTGGGCATCCTCGGTATCATAGTATTCTTCCCTAAACCCTCTTATCAACTCTCTGTAGATCTAGATCTCCCGCTCATCCCAAACCCTAGACTCCTGAAGGCTTACATAGCTCTCCAAGCCTGGAAGCATGCAATCACCTCCGACCCCAAAAACTTTACCTCAAATTGGTGTGGCCCAAATGTTTGCAACTACACAGGAGTCTATTGTGCACCAGCCCCAGATGACCGTAACACCTTAACAGTTGCTGGTATAGACCTAAACCATGCAAACATAACCGGTTATTTGCCAGAAGACCTTGGCCTCCTCACTGACCTAGCTCTCTTCCACATAAACTCCAACCGCTTCTTCGGCTCCATCCCTGGTAGCTTTTGCAAACTCAACCTCCTTTATGAACTTGACGTTAGCAACAACCAATTTAGTGGTGAATTTCCTTCTGTTGTTCTTTCCCTGCCTTCTCTCAAATTTCTTGATATAAGATTCAATGAGTTTCAAGGCAAGATCCCTTCTAAACTTTTTGATATAAATCTTGATGCACTTTTCATTAACAACAACAAATTCCAATCATCCATACCTACAAACTTTGGAAAGTCTCCAGCTTCGGTCATTGTATTGGCAAACAACAATTTTAATAGTTGCTTCCCTTCAAGTTTGACAGAAATGGCAGGGACCCTTGACGAGATAATCCTGACAAACATGGGATTGACTGGTTGTTTGCCATCAGATATCGGGTTGATGAACCAATTGACAGTTTTCGATGTAAGCTCCAACAAGCTTGTGGGTTCACTGCCAGAGTCTATAGGAGACATGAAAAGGTTGGAGCAGCTGAATGTGGCACACAACATGCTTTATGGTGACATTCCACGAAGCATATGCTTATTGCCTAGGTTGGAGAATTTCACATACTCTTACAATTACTTCTGTGGTGAGCCACCAGCGTGCCTCAAGCTACAAGCCAAAGATGATACTGAGAACTGCATACCCTATAGGCCTTTGCAGCGATCACCTCAGGAATGCAAGTCCTTCTATGCTTTTCCTCCCAGCTGCAGTGCCTCCGGGTGCTCACCACCTCCTCCTCCACCTCCACCTCCTCCTCCTCCAATAAATTTTATTATCCTTGACCGTCGTAGAGACTTTGATTATAAACAGGTTGATTTCTTTCTTTTCTTGAAGGGGGAAAAACAGTGATTTCTTCTAGTTGGATCTCTTTTGATAGCTACAGCAAGGGGAAAAAAAAAGGGGAAGTAGAATTTTTAATTTTGTTTCGCTTTCATTTTCTCTTACAGGAAAATAAAAGGCTCAATTGCAATATTATCGTTATTGGTATGTATATATATTTCTTGAATTGAAAAAGTTTAGCTTCTGTGACGCAGGATTTCTTTTAGTTTCTTTCTCTCTACCTCTGTCTTTTTTTTTTTTCATGATTGAGGATTAATTAGTAGAAAAACATACACCTAAATTTGACCCCCTAAATATTTCTTTTAGTTTCTTTCTCTCTGTAAGGACTACGAACACCAGCTTTCTCCATATTAGTATGATATTGTCCACTTTGAGCCTAAGCCCTCATGGATTTGCTCTTGGGTTATACCCAAAAGACCTCATACCAATGGAGATATTTATCCATCCTTATATACTCAAACAATCATTTATCCATCCACTCTCTGCCAACCAGGATTTTTCATCCTCTATTTCTCTCTACTTCATCGTGTTGGGGTCAGGACACGTCCATGAAGCATCCGGAGAGCACTACCTGACTTGAGAGTTTTTGCTCTTTCTAGGTCAACTCCTCTTCACCGTGTTGAGATCGGGACACGTCCATGAAGCATCTGGAGCACACCGCCTATCCAACAGAGCTGATCCATGGATTACATCGTGATTTAATTAGGGCTCACCACCTTTTGTTCGGCATTTCGAGGATTCATCCATCATGGCTAACTCGGGGGCATGACTCTGATACTCTGATACCACTTGTAAGGACTACGAACACCAGCTTTCTCCACATTGGTATGATATTGTCCACTTTGGGCCTAAGCCCTCATGGATTTGCTCTTGGGTTATACCCAAAAGGCCTCATACCAATGGAGATATTTATTCATCCTTATATACCCTTGATCTTCCCCATTTCTAACCAATGTGGGACTTTGGTCGCATACCCAACACTCTCTACCTCTGGCGCGAGCATATTATCTTGACCCCCTAAATTTGTGCCAAACTTGTGTATGTAACACCTGCTAGCTAGCTAGCTAGTTGAAAATTGAAAATTTAGCCAAGTCCATTATACTGTTCTCAATTAGTGATCACAAACTAAAATGTGGCTAATTATGTACCAGTTACGTGCATGAATCTTTCTAGCACTCGTCGTTGAGCCGATATATAGTGATTAAACAAGCAAGCATTAGCTATCTGCAGGCCACCGTAGAAAGAGAAACTAAATTCGACGCTACATTAGTATCAGTGCATGCATCTTTAGGACTGTACGTGGTATTGAATCATTTATATATATATATAGACTAGTTAGAGAATAATAGGCTTTGCAAGAAATATATTTCGAACTGAAGCTATATTGTTTTATCACCGGGTCTGCTGGAGAAACAGGAATATCATTGATTCCCATGTTGATGGTTGCAAGAGAAATTTCCATGAAGGTCAACTTTGCACTGTAAATAGCACAAGCATGCCTGCAAGCTAAGTCACATTTATTATGTTCGTGTAATTGGCATAATTAGAGAGAATTTCTTGCTATTTAAATTATTAAGAAAGGTAAACTATCTGCTTTGGTACATCTGCAGGACTAGCGAGGTCATAATTTGAATGGAAGTTCAATATATATGAGCCTTTCAATGAAGCAAAATTAAAGAAAATATACCTTAACCAATAAATCAATTCATTGATGATATGGTAAAATTTATTCATCTGCTTAAGTTTTTGTAAGTAGAAAGGCAATTATATCTTTTCAAGCTCAAGTAAGCAACAGTACTACTTATTAACCATATCAAAAGCAAGATCGATCCCTCATCATGATACACTTAATTTTACCTCTAAATTAATTTTGATCCCGTGTTAGCTTCAAGATAAAACTTAAAGTGATGAGAATGCATGTCTAGACGATAGCAGACAAGAGAGAGGAAGAGATTTTGCACTTGGCTTTCTTAATTACAACTCATACAACCAGCCTTCCTCGCCTCTAGCAACTAAGGCACGAGTTATATCACGTGACTTGAGAGGAAAATCGAGTTCTAGCACGGCCTTTTTCCTATAAGATAACAATGGCCGCCTAGACTTTAGTCATAGCCCGCGCACGAGAGATATAGTTCTTTTCAAAATAAATTGTATTAGAATAGTGAATAAGGATGTTTACTTTATTATAACAAGAAAATTTAAAATATAAAAGATATTTAACGAAAATTTGAAGTTTATATAAATTTAAATTTATAAACAATTAAAATAAAAATTTATAACAAACATACTTTCAATACAAATATAATAATACAATTCTAATATTTCTAATATGCATACCAATTATACACTCAAACGTCTAATTAATATCAAATTAATATATATAAAGAATAATACTTACTTGTTAAAATAAAATTTTTATTGTTGTTCATGATAAATTCTTTATCTTTATGAATCTATTGCTTCTTATTTTATGTAATTAAAATACTAACAATATATTTATCAAGATTTCAATAACACCATAGAAAAACCGTGTAAAAAAAAAAACTTATCTAAAACTCCTCATTCACCTATTGTTTTATAGTGGATTTTAAAAGTTAAAAAATTAATTCTGATAATAAAAAAAATAGTTCTCATTATTATTAACTTTTGATTAGTTATCATAAATAAAAAAATTAAACCTCAATATTTTGACCATAGATCTGAATTTTTAAGTTGAAAAAACTGTTTAAATTTATAAAAAATGCTTATGCAAGAGACTATTAACATTAAAAAACAATATGTTGAAAAAACTTATGAATCAAATTCAAGTACAAATTTCAATTGGCAAAAATAATATTTTGTAGCCCAAAATATTATTGTGTTGTGGGGAGAAAAATGTATTTGGTATATTCATTGCTATGTTGTACTTGTAAATATTAAAGCAACTAAATAATATTTTTTCAAAATTATTTTATTGTGCTTTTAAATTAATGTAAAATGGCCAATAAATGTTCCAACATATTAAAAATATTCTTAAAAATATATTTCGTTTATATTAAATGTCATATGACTAAAAAAGGGTTAAATAGAATGAGAATATGTATAGACATGTCATTTCAATAAAGTCAATGATAAAAAAAAAATTGAAATAAAAATATATAAAACAATAGCATTTTTATTATATGTAATTAAGAATAACAATGAAAAAACTTATTATTTTAATCAAAACAAAAGTAAAATCCACAATAAACAATTGTGTTTTTTTATTAAAAGTAAGAGGTACATTGCTCTGTCTCAATTAAAGCAAATTAGTCTTCTCTTTTAAAATTATGATGATTGTTTTGGTTTCAAAAGCAAAATATATATTAATTAAACATTGTTTTTAAACAAGAACAACTAAACATAATTATGCTTTGAAAACGGAGTAATAGTAAACAAGCACCGAATGATGTTGAAATAATCGAGATATTTTCTCAAAATTATTTAAATTAGTTAATAAATGCATGCATCAAATTAACAACTTGATCTATCGAGGAGGGAGAGCAATTGAAATAGATAAATACTGCAAGTAAAGCACAACCATTACTTGACCACGTCTTTGTTATACTTTTCGTCGAATCACAAAAACTACTCAGAAAATCCCCGAAATCCATAAAATAAGGCCAATATCGACGGCACTTCAAGAAAATTCATACTTTATTCGTCAAGATGGGCAAAAAAAAAAAAAAACGCTTCTTGGTTTCGAAAAGACAATAATTCTTGACTTTAACATTCAAGTACATCTAACTACTCTCGCATTATAAAAAAAAAAAAAAAAAAAAAAAAAACACCAACTACCAGAATGCTTACGAGGGGACGAAAAGGAAAACAACGGAGAAAAACAAATCCACTTTATTATGTGCCTTTCAACAATCAAAATCGAGTTTAATTAGTGCTTTTATGGCAGAGCGACTTCAAGCTAATTCTTATTTGGGTAAGATATATCTATCAATTATATTTTATAAAATATTTTTTTTTTAAATTAACAAAAGATCTCAAATACAAAATAAAAATTACTCGATCTTCCACTTATAAACATGCATAAAAATAATAATAAAATATTTTAAAAGGCGTCATTTACCTTAAACTGCTTCTGTTTCAGTACTTCAACTTTTATTTTGTGATAACTTTATATTTATATTGTATAATCTGAACATATTCTTTTAATATTCTTTTATACACATCCTTTTTTCTAAACTATTCTTTCAAATAAAATTTTTAAAATAAATAATGATTTTATGTTAAAAAAAAGTGTATTTTTTACCAAAACCATTTAATTAGGTAGCTTACTATATTATTAAAATATTAACGAATAATAAATTAACAATCATAAATAAATTAAATAATGGAAATTTTAAATAATAAGATGCGCTAATCAATGCAAAATATTGAAGTTATCAATGTTTTTAGTAATTATATTAAAAAAATATGATAATAAAAAGTAAACTCCGTGTGCATCAAAGAGCCATTTTAACTATTTTCTCTAATTAATTGTTATACCTTAGCTAGTATTTAATTATCCCCTTGCCCTCCTAAAAGATCTCGATTTTGAAAAGCAAAGTTAAAACAAAAGTAGGTATACAAATTCTCAAAATAGTGGACTCTAACCTGCATTCAACAAAGTGGTTGCTCTAGACACAAGAGTAATTATCAATGTATATTCGCTCCATTAAGAGAAAGATATAGCGAGAGAAATTAATTGCTTTAAAACCCACCAAAAAATGACACTGTTTTCCCCACATACAAGAGGGTAATTTTTGTTCCTAAGAGGGTAACTCTCTCTCTCTCTCTCTCTCTCTCTCTCTTCTACATTATGTTCTTCTCGAAGGGAATACATATGCGAACTTCTTCGTCAAAAAACTATTTGATTTTTAAGCCCTTTGATTATTTGGCAGACCACTAGATGAGCTCTCCTTCTTTCTCTTGGCGTATACTAATGATGTTTCTCACCTTAAACTTAAAGTTTGGTTGTGTGTTTTTATCTGTCTGCCGGAACAAAACAAAAAGATCTTCTTATGTGGTGGTTTTAGATTAGATTCTAAGAGTTTAATAATCGTGTTCCAAAAAACTATCCTTGTTTTCGATTAAATTATATATTTTTCAATATATATAACGTGCCGATGTGATCATTAACTCTCATTACTTTTCTTTTCCACTGAGCTTCTTTAATTCTTTCCATTTTGTGCG